GCTACCGCACGTTCGTCGTCACGCTTTCCGTTGTTGCAACTATTTTGTCGTCACCACTGGGCCCATAACCTGTTGACACCAATAGTGCAACACTAGGAAAGGTAGACAGACAACTACTCTCTTCAGCCCATAGGGCATATTTATTTCTTTACTTTAGTAACAAGCGGACCACATCCATTGATAACCTTTTGTCTCCAACAAGAACAGAGAGAGAGAGAGAAATGTAGGTCTCTTCCAAAACAAATAGCACCCCCTTGCGGTGTGGAATAGGTAACTACAGTACAGAATACATTCAGTCAGTCATACACATTTCAACAGATACCATTATATTCATATCTAAGTTTAAGTATATTCTTATAGTCATCAGGTGATTCAGAGATTTGGTATTTTCTTTCCAAATTGGAGAGGGCACGGTTTATTTCTGACAGGCGTTTCTCTCTGTCCTTTTTAAGGGCTGAAGTGTAAGAAATTATTTCGCCACGCAAAACGGTTTTCAAAGCTGAACAAGATGGAATCTGAAACTTCACCATTATCATTTATTTTTATAAAGTCATTTAGTTTAGAGGTTATATATTTAACAAAGCTATCATCATTAAGGAGATTTGCGTTAAGTCGCCAGGAGTAAGCCTGCCTGGGGAGGTGTATTTTTAATGTTAGCGTTATGGGACAATGATCAGAAATCAGAATATTATGATATTTAGAATCACCAATCATCCGTGGGATGTTGAGTCCTCCAAATATCCACCATGTTTCTTGTTTTTAGGAGATTATTTAGAAGTTTGGTAGATGCCAGTTCTGATGCTGGCCGCTTAGATGATCTGTCAAGAAAGGGGTCGAGGTAACAGTTCAAATCCCCTGCTATTATTATGTTTGAGTGGTTGTCGTCTGGAAGCAGGTCGAAGATTTTTCTAAAGAAATTAGGATCGTCTGAATTTGGGCCATATACACTATATTGCCAAAAGTATTTGCTCACCCATCCAAATTATTGGAATCAGGTGTTCCAATCACTTCCATGGCCACAGGTGTATAAATTCAAGCACCTAGGCATGCAGACTGTTTTTACAAACATTTGTGAAAGAATGGGTCGCTCTCAGGAGCTCAGTGAATTCCAGCGTGGAACTGTGATAGGATGCCACCTGTGCAACAAATCCAGTCGTGAAATTTCCTCGCTCCTAAATATTCCACAGTCAACTGTCAGCTGTATTATAAGAAAATGGAAGTGTTTGGGAACGACAGCAACTCAGCCACGAAGTGGTAGGCCACGTAAACTGACGGAGCGGGGTCAGCGGATGCTGACGCGCATAGTGCGAAGAGGTCGCCAACTTTCTGCAGAGTCAATCACTACAGACCTCCAAACTTCATGTAGCTCAAGAACAGTGCGCAGAGAGCTTCATGGAATGGGTTTCCATGGGCGAGCAGCTGCATCCAAGCCATACATCACCAAGTGCAATGCAAAGCGTCGGATGCGGTGGTGTAAAGCACGCCGCCACTGGACTCTAGAGCAGTGGAGACGCGTTCTCTGGAGTGACGAATCGCGCTTCTCCATCTGGCAATCTGATGGACGGGTCTGGGTTTGGCGGTTGCCAGGAGAACGGTACTTGTCTGACTGCATTGTGCCAAGTGTAAAGTTTGGTGGAGGGGGGATTATGGTGTGGGGTTGTTTTTCAGGAGCTGGGCTTGGCCCCTTAGTTCCAGTGAAAGGAACTCTGAATGCTTCAGCATACCAAGACATTTTGGACAATTCCATGCTCCCAACTTTGTGGGAACAGTTTGGAGCTGGCCCCTTCCTCTTCCAACATGACTGTGCACCAGTGCACAAAGCAAGGTCCATAAAGACATGGATGACAGAGTCTGGTGTGGATGAACTTGACTGGCCTGCACAGAGTCCTGACCTCAACCCGATAGAACACCTTTGGGATGAATTAGAGCGGAGACTGAGAGCCAGGCCTTCTCGTCCAACATCAGTGTGCGACCTCACAAATGCGCTTCTGGAAGAATGGTCAAAAATTCCCATAAACACACTCCTAAACCTTGTGGACAGCCTTCCCAGAAGAGTTGAAGCTGTTCTAGCTGCAAAGGGTGGACCGACGTCATATTGAACCCTATGGATTAGGAACGGGATGTCACTTAAGCTCATATGTGAGTCAAGGCAGGTGAGCAAATACTTTTGGCAATATAGTGTACGTTAAGGAGAGTAAGTGGCTTTGAGTCTATGGTGCCAGTCACCATCAAGTACCTACCCATAGGATCATTAACAACAGACGTGGTCTGAAATGGGACATTTTTTCTCAATAATATAGCCACACCACGAGCACGCGAGGTGAAAGGTGACTGGTATATTTGAGACACCCAATTACACTTCAATCTATGTTGCGCATCTTTTCTAATATGAGTCTCTTGTAGAAAAATAATGTCTGCAGCTAAGGATTTAAGGTATTTAAAAACTTTCCCCCTCTTTATAGCACCACCAAGACCTTTTACATTCCATGAGATCAGTTGCAGATTTCTCCCCTCCGTCCGACCATCATTACAAGCATCAGTCATCGATATAATGTACCATCAGAACTAGCAGTCTTGATGCCGTGTGATACAAAAACTTAAAGCAAGTGCATCTGGGTAAAACACAACAGAAAAATAACACACACCCCGAACTCCCCCCCCCTCCCACATCCCGGCGTCTACAGAACACGACGCGTATCTTTCCCCTTTAAACGAAACGGGAGCTGCCGGACAAATAGCGGACTGAACTTAGTCAAGTCACAGCTCCCCCCACCACAACAATCATTAACTGATATGTGAATTAAACAACTATACCAAATATTATTAAAATATATTCTCTGAAAAGACGGACCCAGATTAATCAACACAAACTCAGGAAGTCTGTATGTTGTTAAAATATAGTTCGCCAGGTAAATCACTGCGTACCGGAGTTAACTCACTCCAAGACGGTGAAACAGGAAAAACAGACACAGATAAATGTGCCACACGGCTCGCTAGCCATTTTCAGTTGTACTTCCCTTCCTCCGCAGATGAGCCGCCTCCGCCTGATCCGGGTCGTTCAATACCTCAGCGGTGTTATCATCCTGCCATTGCAGCTGGAACTTAATTCCATCTTTCCTCAAGGCTTGCATCACGTTCCGAAAAGCGCGGCGCTGACTCATTACTTCGCTGGTGTAGTCTGGGAAGATCAGGACTTTGTTCCCCTTGTATTCCAACGGCTGCGTCCTTGCAAGGCGCAGAATCTGCTCCTTGCTCTGAAAGTGATGTATACGGGCTATGATGGTACGTGGTTTTTCACCCGCCGCCGGTTTGGGCCACAAAGTACGGTGAGCGCGGTCAACCTTCAGTGGATGCGGGAAATGTTGTTTGCCCAGCAGCTCAGGGATGAGCTTAGAAACAAACTCAGTTGGCCTCCCTTCTTCCGAGTTTTCTTTTATGCCAACAATTTTGATGTTATGTCTCCGGGAGCGAGCCTCCAGGTCCAACAACTTAGTTTGCTGCTGGGTTACAATCTTTGTGAGCTCCACACATTTCGTTTCAAGCTCCCGCAACCGCTCCTCATGTGCGCTGGCTGCTAGTTCTTGGCCGAGCATACGGTTCTGCAAATCAGTCTGTACAGCAAGGACAGACTGGAGCTTAGCTTCAAGGGCATCAAAGCGCTCATCCAGCTTCTCAAGAATTGACGCTGACATATTCTTGCATATCTCCTGGCACAGCTCGAGCAGCTGGGTCTTGTCGCCCGGAGCGCCGTCTCTGGGCTCGCCCCCGGCTCCACTAGCATGGCTAGCGCTAGCATTAGCCTCGTTAGCACTAGCCCCGCCAATGTATCCGTCCATGGTCTTGTTTTTCCCGGAGTTTGTAGATTTCTTCGGCGGCGAAATGCTGCCCGGTAATAAGCCAAAGGTTTAGCGTCAAGAATGCCGGTTCTTAAGTGCTTTAATCGTGGCATTTAATGAGTTAGTTAAGGTTATGGTGGAGAGCGCAAGCTGAACACGTCTACATCTCACAGCTGCGCACTAGCGCCCCCCAAACTCAGAATTTTGACTTTTTTTCTCAGAATTCTGACTTTTCTTCTCAGAATTCTGACTTTAAACTGAGAATTCTGACTTTAAACTCAGAATTCTGAATTTAATCTCACAATTCTCACTTATTTCTTAAAAATCAGTTAACTTTTTTTTTTTCAGTGGCCCTAATCCTCTTCAGTAGCAAGCCAATAAAGTTATTTTTGCTTTTTTATTTGTTGAAGGTCAAATTGTAAATATATAAAGTTTAAATTCAATCAGAAAAACTGAAAAGTCAGTTTTTTCTCTCAAAAATGTGCATTTATGAAGATGAAATTTAGCCTTAATAATTAATAAATGGATAAGAAAACTCTTCGCATTCATTCCTTCATTTTGTTGAAAACCAAACAGGACATTTATCCAATATAACTGAAATCCTGTTGATATTTTTGACACAATAAAAGTACAAAGTTGTTGCCAAAATACTTTGGAAAGATGACAAAACCAGAACAGATGAGTGATCGACTCTGGGCAAGTGTCTCAGAAGCAAGTTCTCCCTCTTAGAAGTCATGGAGGAAATTGTCATCATAGCTGCATTTCCACTGTGAGAGACATGATCTAAAAAATAAAATCCAGAAATCACAAAACATGATTTTTAAACCATTTATTTGTATGATTCAGCTGCAAATAAGTATTTAAACACCTGAGAAAATCAATGTTAATATTTGGTGCAGTAGCCTTTGTTTGCAATTACAGAGGTCAAAGGTTTCCTGTAGTTTTACACCAGGTTTGCGTCCAGTGCAGCAGGGGTTTTGGCCCATTCCTCCACACAGATTTTCTCCAGATCAGTCAGGTTTCTGGGCCGTCCCAGCAAGACCTAAACCAGTAGAGAATCTTTGGAGGGAACTCAAACTGTGTCCCTCAGCGGCAGCCCAGAAACCTGACTGATCATGCTGAACATTTTATCCCTGCTCTGATGATAAAAACTGTGTTGGACAGGTTGTTCATCGGGAACAAGGAGCAGAAGCTTCCACGCCGGCTGGTTCAGCCCTGAGACCGACATCATGGCGTGCAGTGAAGGGTCCCACAGGACGGATGGCGACGCCGATCAGCCGTCCGCTCATCAGGACCCTTCGATAGAAAGCATGAAGTTGAAGAAGGAGATCTCTCTGCTCAACGGAGTCAGTTTGATCGTGGGAAACATGATCGGCTCCGGCATCTTCGTCTCGCCCAAAGGGGTGCTCTTCTACAGCGCCTCCTACGGGCTGTCGCTGGTCATCTGGGCCATCGGGGGCCTGTTTTCGGTCGTCGGGGCCCTCTGCTACGCCGAGCTGGGCACCACAATCACTAAATCAGGGGCCTCCTATGCATACATTCTGGAGTCGTTCGGCGGCTTCATCGCGTTCATCCGTTTGTGGACGTCCCTGCTGATCATTGAACCCACCAGCCAGGCGGTCATTGCCATCACGTTCGCAAACTACCTGGTCCAGCCGCTGTTTCCAACATGTGAGCCTCCATACGCGGCGGCCCGCCTCATCGCCGCTGCGTGCATATGTGAGTTCCTCTCAGTCACTGCTGCTTCTTCACCTCCCTGCTGCTCCTGACGTTCCTCCCTCTGTGTTCAGGTTTACTCACCTTCATAAACTCTGCTTATGTAAAGTGGGGGACCCGGGTGCAGGACGTTTTTACCTACGCAAAGGTGGCGGCCCTCATCGTCATCATCGTCACCGGTATCGTTAAGATGTTCCAGGGTGAGTTGGGGCACTATAACAATTAAAACTATTTCAGAAATCTGATGGAATGTTCTGATTGTAAATATTCATATCCCCAAAGTCTTTAATAAAAAAAACCTCTGACAATCAATGATACATAATGATTATATTTGTTTTTATTTTATTTCAGTAAAAAAAAAAGCAGTAGTATTACTTGATGTTTCTATATTAGTTTGTAAAAGACGTAGCCATAAGATGCTGTTTACCTAAATGAGTTTTGACATGAAGTTGTCACTTACTACTTTATATATATCGTATCCAAGTGTCACCATTTTATGGTAAAAAGTAGGGGTGTAAATCACATCCATCATGGCGATTCGATTCAGTATCGATTTCCTGACCCAACGATTCGATTATTTTCGATACTCAAGAATACACCACGATTCGATTCGATTAATTGGTTCTTTTTTTTTTTTACACCTTAAAGGCTAGACAATGTTTCAAATTTGAAATAAATCAATGAAAGCTGTAATATCGTTATGGATTTTCTTTTTGAGTAACAACAGCAAATAACAGAAGTAGAAAAGTTGCACTCCATCTATTCCTATTAAAACCTCATTCATTAAATAATTAAAATAATAATACCCCTGCGTTATAGATTCTGAAAGGCTTTGCATCAAAAAGTATTGTGCAAAATCAGTGCAATGAGTGCAATGCAATACCTCGGCTCCAGACGTCCCGCCCCCTCCACAGACGCTCCGCTGCTCCTCTCCCAGATTGTAGCTGACCGCAGACAGCGCCGCAGACAGGAGGCCGGCTTGTTTTGTTTTTATGACCGAAATTGCGGAAAACATCTTGTGAACTTTGACCCGCTAGAAGAGCGAGGTGCACGAGAACGCTGGGACCCTTTTTCCACCTGGATCCCCGCTCTTTTTGGCCCTCATGTCCCTCCGTTGTCGGACTAAACTCGCCCCCACTTCCTCGCCGCCTCGGCCGTATCTAGACCCACAGCGTGCAGCACAGACCACGCTTCAATATTGAGCATAAACCAAAAATGTCTGCATCAAGCTCACTGCAACACACTGCTGTAAGAGTACAGGTGCTGGTCATAAAATTAGAATATCATGAAAAAGTAGATTGATTTCAGTAATTCCATTTAAAAAGTGAAACTTGTATATTATATTCATACATTACATACAAACTCATATATTTCAGATGTTTATTTTGTTTAATTTTGATGATTACAAATGACAACAAATGAAAATCTCAAATTCATCATATCAGAAAATTAGAATATTACTGAAGACCAATAAAAACAAAGGATTTATAGAAATGTTGGCCAACTGAAAAGTATGAACATGAAAAGTATGAGCATGTACAGCACTCAGTATTTAGTTGGGCCTCCTTTGGCCTGTATTACTGCAGCAATGCGGCGTGGCATGGAGTCGATCAGTCTGTGGCACTGCTCAGGTGTTATGATAGCCCAGGTTGCTCTAATAGTGGCTTTTAGCTCTTCTGAATTGTTGGGTCTGGTGTATTGCATCTTCTTCTTCACAATACCCCATAGATTTTCTATGGGGTTAAGGTCAGGAGAGTTTGCTGGCCAATTAAGAACAGGGATACCATGGTCCTTCAACCAGGTACTGGTAGCTTTGGCACTGTGTGCAGGTGCCAAGTCCTGTTGGAAAATGAAATCTGCATCTCCAAAAAGTTGGTCAGCTGCAGGAAGCATGAAGTGCTCTAAAACTTCCTGGTATGTGGCTGCGTTGACCCTGGACCTCAGAAAACACAATGGACCAACACCAGCAGATGACATGGCACCCCAAACCATCACTGACTGTGGAAACTTTACACTGGACTTCAAGCAACGTGGATGAAGTGCCTCTCTTCTTTTCCTCCAGACTCTGGGACCTTGATTTCCAAAGGAAATGCAAAATTTACTTTCATCAGAGAACATGACTTTGGACCACTCACCAGCAGTCCAGTCCTGTTTCTCTTTAGCCCAGGCAAGACGCTTCTGACGCTGTCTGTGGTTCAAGAGTGGCTTGACACAAGGAATGCGACAGCAGAAACCCATGTCTTTCATACGTCTGTGTGTGGTGGTTCTTGAAGCACTCACTCCAGCTGCAGTCCACTCTTTGTGAATCTCCCCCACATTTTTGAAGGGGTTTTGTTTCACAATCCTCTCCAGGGTGCGGTTATCTCTCTTGCTTGTACACTTTTTTCGACCACATCTTTTCCTTCCCTTCGCCTCTCTATTAATGTGCTTGGACACTGAGCTCTGTGAACAGCCAGCCTCTTTAGCGATGACCTTTTGTGTCTTGCCCTCCTTGTGCAAGGTGTCGATGGTCGTCTTTTGGACAACTGTCAAGTCAGCAGTCTTCCCCATGATTGTGTAGCCTATAGAACTAGACTGAAAGACCATTTAAAGGCTTTTGCAGGTGGTTTGAGTTAATTAGCTGATTAGAGTGTGGCACCAGGGGCCATCAATTTTGAACCTTTTCACAATATTCTAATTTTCTGATATGATGAATTTGAGATTTTCATTTGTTGTCATTTGTAATCATCAAAATTAAACAAAATAAACATCTGAAATATATGAGTTTGTATGTAATGTATGAATATAATATACAAGTTTCACTTTTTAAATGGAATTACTGAAATCAATCTACTTTTTCATGATATTCTAATTTTATGACCAGCACCTGTATAACCAGGAAGCGAGGTAGTAGGGCAAAATAGGTTTAGCGCCACCGCAGCACGGGAGGGAGAATTACGCCCAGGAGCAAATTGATAAAAATAGACCGGAGGAAAAAAAAAAAAACATGAATCGATTCTCTTGCGGACGTATCGATGCATCGATACAAAACAATTATTATTTACACCCCTAGTAAAAAGCAATCAAATATTTACAAAAGTATGATGTGGTACTCATTTATGAGAGATACTTTATGTACAAAATAGTATTTATTCATTCATTCATTCATTCATTCATTCATTCATTCATTCATTCATTCATTCATTCATTCAGTCAGTCATGATTCCACATTCTTTGCCCCCAAAAAGCTTTTCCTGACTCTAAACTGAGTAAATATTATTCAGCTGACTAACCTAAAGAGTTCACTCAAACGAAGGAAGTAGAGAAAATCACCACAGTCCTTCTGGATCTCAAAGAACACACCTTAAAATACTATAAATCTATAAATTGGTTTAATACCAACATATAAAACAGACTTACTACCCACACTGGAAAAAAATCGAAATCTAGATAAGTTGTTTTTTCTTAAAACAAGTGTATTTGTTCTTCTATTTAGTAGGTAAAAGAGAGATTTTGCCAATGGAACAAGACAATTTACACTTACAATAAGAAAACACAATTGCGTTGTCTTATATCAGGAGCATTTTATCTAATTTTCTTATTTTAAGAGCAAAAATACTCATTCCATTGGCAAACTATCTCATTTATCTACTCAAATTAAGCTTAAATACACTTAATTTAAGACATTTCTACTTATTTTTAGATCCTTTTTCCAGTGCAGACCTCTTACACTGCAAAAAAAGATATCTAAATAAGTGCATTTTTTCTTGAAATGAGGAGGTAAGTGAGACACTTTGCCAATGGAACGAGACAATTTACATTTAAAAGAAGAAAAAAACAATTGCCTTGTCTTATTTCAAGAGCATTTTATCTAATTATCTTACTTTAAGAATAAAAGTACTCATTCCATTGGCAAATCATCTTATTTACCTACTCAAACTAGGATTAAATGCACTTAATTGAAGAAATTTTTGCTCATTTCTAGATCGTTTTTGCAGTGTAGAGATTATGGCTCAAATCGACTCTATGTACCCAGAACCAGAACCAAACACAGAGAAGCAGCATTTAGTTCTTATGCTCCATTAATCTGGAATAAATTCCCAGAAAACTGCTTGCATCAGCGTGCCCCACACTGCAAAAAATTTAAATCTCAATAAGTCATTTTATCATAAGTCATCCAGTGCATAACATCTAATTATCCTATTTTAAGAGTAGAAATACTAATTCCATTGAAAAATCATCTTTTTTGCCTACTCAAAGCTAAATACACTTAATTTAAGAAATGTAGCTGCAGAGCGGCTGACCACCATCAGTGGTGGTAATAACGCCTCAGAGTCCTCTGACTTCAGCAGTAGTAATAAGTTCAACCAGAAAAGGTAGAATTCTTTAAAAATCAATTGTTCTGAGTTATATTCATAATGAAACGTTAGTACTTTATGTCAGCAGTCCAGTTTTCCCTGAACCTGTTTCTGTTACGCCGCTGCAATCGATCGGCCTGTTTTTTTCTATCCTGTTTTATTTGCAATAGACATTTTAAATTGTTTGGTTACTGAAATGTGATTTACTCCCTTTGCATTAAATATGTATACATTTAGATAAGGATGCATGTTAGTGCAATTTTGGGCAATATCTTATATGCAGATATTTAAACTATATAATAATTTAACTGGATCACTGATATCTTTCCCCCCTCCTCCTTAGAAGACACGTCTTAGTTTTCTACCTCCTGTCCTCTGCAGTCATTGCAAATAATGATTTAGCTATTTATGAAACCTAAAAAAGCTTCCCTGAACCAACATTTTTACCGTCGTTCCTGTGGCACTCATGCATGGGTTAGTTGCGCATGATGCGCTGCAGGCATAATCCCCACTTGCTTTTCACAGATATCAGGGGGTTAAATGGCCAATGTTTGATAATTAGGTTCAAAGTTAGACATTTTGATACGTTTTAGGAAAACTACTCATAACTAATAACCAGCACTTCTTTGAGATGCAGTCATTCAGATTCAGCACAGTTAAATGGGATTTCTTATCTCCCTGTAATGGCTGCATATGCAGCCACACAGATCTGGTAACAGTATTATAAACATAATTCGGTTTGTTTTCATCTAAATATTATTTACAGAACCACTTTAATATTTGGAAATCGTTTATGACCATTAGACGATATTCTAAAATGTCCGTTTTAGTCATGATTCTGTGTCATTTCTATTCTGAATTCTTGCAGTAGTTTTAGTCCAGTATGTTTCACCCCTTGTGTTTCTTTTGTGGTCTGATCAGCTTTAACTTCTCCGTGTCTCGTTATGGTCGATTAGTTTGCTAGTTATTCTGACTAGTTTTATTAGGCAAGCCAAGGCAAGGCAAGGCAAATTTATTTGTATAGCACAATTCAGTACAAAGACAATGCAAAGTGATTTACATGATTAAAATACAGGAAGATAAAACTGAATCAAAGCAAGTAGGAACAAATAAAAAAAAAATAAAATAAATAAAATAAAAAATGCAGAAACAAAAAAAAAGAATATTAAAAACAGTTGGACGTTTTTGTTAGATTACATTTATTTATTTGATTTTTTTTTTTTTTTTTTTATGGAGAAGAAGAGGACTTTGTTTGAGCTAATTTTCCAGTATTTGATTTCTAATTATCTTTAAAGCTGTTAGCATTTCATCAAAAATTTCTCCTTGGGCAGTTGATAATTCCCCAGAACCTTGCCTTTTGTTCTACTACCATAGAACTGCAAAACCTTTCCCATTAACTACAGGTAATTTAACCCGATACACACACCAACTGGGTGATAACTGGGGGGGGATCCCACTCTAGATTACCGACGTCATTAATTTGATCTCTTTCATGGGACCTTCCATTATATTTGACTTTCTGGGTTAAATTAAAGAACCCAGTTGTTGGACTCTAACCTGTCCTTACAGCTCGGACCATCATCACACTCCAAACAAGCCAAACCAGTTTTCCTTCCATTCCTGTCGTCACATGTTCCCTGTATGCAGTTTGTCTCTTATTTTATAGTTTTACAGTCAGACCTCTAAACTACACAGAAAAACACTTTGGAAGACACTAACTCAGGCCTGCTTGTTAAATAAACTTTAGCTTTCAACTGGCGTCACATTTTGGTTCACCTGAAAGGGTTAAAATAAAGCAAACGTGACGGTTTAAAAAAAAAACTCATGTTTTTTAGATCAGAGATCTAAAATCCTAAGAACCAATTTAGCTCAAAGTTCAGCCAGAAAAAAAAACTTTATAGAGTCTCCTTATATTACATCACCTTATGAAAGAAGATCATTTATTTAGTATTTTTAATCAATATCTAGTGAGAAAATGTAATTTCTGAAGAACTACAGTTTTAATATTAGGTTCTGCATGAAAGATGAAAAACATTTGCAAAAAATGCAAAAATAATACCTAGTTTCTAACCTCATGACAAAGAAGTGAGATCTACTGTTGCTTTAAGTCTTATCTTATAGAAATAAACATTTTTTCAATGTATAAACTGCATAAATATACATATTTGCTTTACTTTTATTTAAAAATAATCATTTGCTCATGATATTTTATTCCAATCTATCAAAGGTAATGATGGAAGGTCCAAAGAGCCACTTGTGGCTGCAGATCTGCAGGCTGTAGATCTATAACAAGCTGATTCCAAACAATATTTGTCTTTATGTAAATTCATGCATTGATGATGACGGAGGTTCAACAGATTTTCAAAAGGAGTCATAAAGTTTATTTTACTATAATCATGCCCTTCTAAAGAATAGAAACCAGTTTCTTCTTGTCTTCAGCAGGGGTGGATTTAGGAAATGTGGGGCCCTAGGTAAAGACAGGCAGGGGCCCCTCTGAATGGAGAAGACATCAAACAGCCCCATTCTCCAGATGTAGAAATGTTGATAGAATAGACATCCATTATCTGTTCTAGGTTGTGTCCCTCTCTTCTTGTCCCTTTTCTTCTTGTTTTCCTCTCTATGTTTTGTACTCAGCTGACTTTTCATGCTGTCTCTAAAGGAATGAAAGATTTTTTCCAAGCACTAAGCTCACTTAGCTGATTGCTCCTTCCTGTGTTTCCAAAAAGGCCAAAGTAAATAACCCAGTCCTTCTTTTCACTGTAGACAAGCCATGATCTGCTTATCTGTTCTCCATTTTTCATTTGGATGAAATAATAGCTGCATGAATCATGACAGCAGACAAGATAGAGGAGAGCAGGAGGCGGGGTTACCAATCTACTCGCTCTGGAGAGCAGAGTTCGCTGCTTTTAGATGTTGTCTCCAAAGTCTCCAGTAGCAGAAAAAAGTCTCTAGATTTGGCGCTAGGAGCTTTTTAGAAATCAAAGTGCTAGAGGGGTCTGAAAAGTGGCTAAATATAGCGACTAAAGCGCTAAGTTGGCAACACTGCTCTTTGCATGGTTTGTTTTCAAATGGTTTGCTGCTGTCTGTTTGGACCTTTCTGAACATGTGCAGCAAATGGACTGATCCAATATGGTGGACACTGAAGGGGGAACTTGGGGCCCTAAGCAATTGCCTGGTATTGCCTAATAGTAAATCCCCCCCGATGTCCAGGCTACACAGACAACCTGAAGTCGTCCTTCCAGGGCTCGTCTACAGATCCCGGTGACATAGCTCTGGCGCTCTACTCGGCTCTCTTCTCATACTCTGGCTGGGACACCCTCAACTTTGTAACAGAAGAGATCAAAAACCCAGAGAGGTGATTTTTTTGTTTAATAACCATATTTCAGCATCGCTGCCAGTAAATATTGTAACGATGAAGCGCGCTGCTGTTTCAGGAACCTCCCTCTGGCCATTGCCATCTCCATGCCTATTGTCACCATCATCTACATCCTCACCAACGTGGCTTACTACGCCGTTCTGGATGCCGCTGCTATCCTGGCCAGCGATGCCGTGGCAGTGGTGAGTGAACCGTTTGGAAATGAGAGCAAGATGCATGAGGATGAGCTTAGAGGACAGCTGCTGCTTTGCTCTCCTTAGACCTTTGCAGATCACACACTGGGCGTGATGAGCTGGATCATCCCCATATCTGTGGCCTTGTCCTGCTATGGAGGCTTAAATGCTTCTATTATTGCTGCTTCCAGGTAGAAACCTCCAGAAGGATTTCTATTCATTTAATCATTTTAACAGACATATTAATTTTTCTGATGTTCGTGGTGTTCAGGTTGTTCTTCGTAGGGTCGCGGGAAGGTCACCTGCCAGACGCTCTCTCCATGATCCACATCCAGAGATTCACTCCAATCCCTGCTCTCATCTTTAACGTAAGAGAAGAAAACACCGATTTAAACACCGAGCAGATTTCCCCACATTTGTTCTTTAGGGAACCTTCATATTTCTACATGAATATTTAGACATCGTCTCTCAGTTCACCTCTACGGAAGAGGATTAGGGCCAGTGGATAAAAAAAAAAAAAAGGGTTTACTGACTTTAAATTCTTTTTTCATTTTAGTATTGGAAACAAGTCAGAATTCTGACTTTTTTCTTTGTTCGCCATAAAGAATGTTTTTAACTTATTTAATGTAAGTATGCTGATGTGAATAATAAATTAATTACTCTAATTTTGCTGTCCGTTTATAGTTACAATCACAAGCAGAACAATCTAATTAGGAGATTCCCCCTTAGAGAATCAGTGCTGCCCCCCTCTGGTTCGGAGTTTCAGCTCCACTCCTTCAACTAAATGCAATTAAGATTCACTAATCAGCCTGTTATTGGACTGTGGGAGGAAGCAGGAGTACCCAGAGTGAAGCCACGCATGGACTGGGAGAGTCAAATATGAAATAAAGCTGTTCTCAAACCGAACAGCAAATGGTGCTGTTGTTTCATTTAGCAGGATTTATCCACATGGCCTTTTTGGTTTGTTACATCTGCGCTGTAATTTCTGTACATAATATAACGTCTAAAGGGTAAGCAATTAAAAATCAGGCGGTTCGAATAAAGAAAATAAATGAAAGATCCAGAGACATTTTTAATTATAATCTGTTACTTTAAACAGAATTTAACACTGAAATAAAATGAGGTTTTAATGCATCCATGAATCACATTGAATTTTTAAATGAAAAATAGAAAATTTTTCCATATTGAAGTCTAAATTCTTTTTGAAGTAGAGAACAACAATCGTTCAGTTTGGTTTATAGACAATTTCCTGATTCCCATATTTTCTCAAACCCCTGAACGGATGGTTTATTTTCTTTCTTTTTTCTGTCTTAATGTTGGCAGTGGGCTTTAGGCTGCCCTGCAAGGCTTTAAACCTGGGTTTAACCGGAGACTAAGCCATTCTCAAGCACATATCAAACATCCTCTAAATGCCCAAGTTGTTCTTCACTGGAAAAACGATCTAGAAATAAGTAAAAATTTCTTAAATTAAGTGTATTCACCCTTAATTTGAGCAGGTAAATGAGGTAGTTTGCCAATGGAATGAGTATTTATACTCTTAAAATAAGATAATTAGATAACATGCACTTGAAATAAGACAATAAAATTGTGTTTTCTTATTTTAAATCTACATTCTCCATTGGCAAAATTCTCTTTTATCTTCTTAATTCAAGAACAAATGCTCTTATTTAAAAAAATAATGACTTATCTAGATTTAGATGTTTTTCCAGTGTTGTGACCCCAAATTATGTCTTCACATCGCTAGGGGGCGCACTCTGCTATTAGAGAACCACTGCTTCATGCTATTATTCTATTTCCCGTTGGTGGCACATTGAAAGTTTCGTATTTACTGATAGACTTGCTTTAGAAGTGAGAGAATTGTTGTTGTAAGGTGTTAAAATTGAATAAGTCCTTCATGGTAGTAAAATGTGACAAAATGTCTGATTAATGATTAGATTGTAGAGAATAATTTTCTGTTTCCACTTTCTAGTGCATCATGTCTCTAATCTACCTGACGGTGGAGGACGTCTTCCAGCTCATCAACTACTACAGCTTTAGTTACTGGTTCTTCATGGGTCTCTCTGTCGCCGGGCAGATCTACCTTCGCTGGAAGCAGCCTGAGAGACCCAGACCTCTCAAAGTAACGTAACCGAGTTGTTTATCTGAATCTGGGTGATTAGAGGAGGGAAATTTAATTAAAGCACAACCTGGTCCAACCAATCAATAGAAAAAAATCCCATCTTCAGTACAGAACTCAGCATCTCTTAGTTTAAATTACAGGTGATATCAGATATTTGAAGGCTGGATGCTTCTGTGTGGTGATGATGAGTGATGAAGGTCCAGAGGGGTGAACTGTTTCTGTTGCAGCTCTCGCTGCTCTACCCCGTGGTGTTCTGCCTCTGCGCCGTCTTCCTGGTGGCCGTCCCTCTCTACAGCGACACTCTCAACTCCCTGATTGGGATCGCCATCGCCCTGTCTGGTGTTCCAGTCTACTTCCTGGGCGTCTATCTGCCGGAGTCCAAAAGACCGCCCATCATCATCAAGCTGCTGCGTGAGTGTCCTCCACACCCGGCTCCGTGACTTTCATCTTTATTCATCCAAATGTTCTGCTAACATGTCTCTCTGCAGGTTCTCTGACGTTCTTCACCCAGTACACCTGCCTCTGCGTGCTGACGGAGATGGACAAGAGCCAGTAGCTTCTGTTCACCTGCAGGGAAACAAACGTACCGTCCGCCGTGCTGCTGCCGCCATAGAAGGCGGCCATGTTTGTCGATGCATATTTATCCAGGGATGAAAACAGATCTGATATAAATAATGACCTGGAACAGCTACGGTGGTCGCTGGACATTTTTAAATATGAAATGTTAGCGATCACAGCCTTATGGTGACGAGTCTGTTATAATAAACCCAAAGGACTAAGAGATCTATCACTGGCGGTTCTACATCATAATTACTCAGGGGGGGGCAGTGATTTTAAAGGGGCCACAGAACAAAGGAGTGAAACTAATTATTTTAATATATTGGAGCCACAGGTTGGAGACTCCTGATGTTGCAGATAAAAACCATGATCCCATCTCACTACGACTGAAGCGTAAAAGTGAGAAATCCTAATTTTTTAATTATTGAAGCAAAACTGTAAACATAAATAAAATGGTTCTAAAAGGACCAGTTATATGGAGGACAAACACTGCCAAAATTAAATAAATACAGCATTAAATTAATAATTAAATGTGTCAATAATTAATTAAACGTGGAATTAAATAAAACCAGGTCACTAATATAAAGTGCCACAATTAAATAAATAAATACAGTGATAAACAATTAAATTAAATGTGTAATTCATTAAATAAATAAGGAATTAAATATATAAATTTGTCATTTATATATTTAATTCCGGTTATCTAACACCTGATTGGTCACCCTGCACATTAAGGCGGAGCAAATCGATTACAGAGACTCGATTGGCGTTAACCCCGCCCCCTAACTTTGATGGGTGAGTTTGACAGATTCTTTTAATGGTTTCGATGCACTCCGACACAGGGCCATGAAATAATTAAATGCACACTGAAATAATTATATATTTTTTTAAAAATGAAGACGTATTTTACTAAATTAATGACACATTTATATATTTAATTCCTTATTTATTTAATGAATTACACATTTAATTGATTGTTTATCGCTGTATTTATTTATTTAATTGTGGCACTTTATATTAGTGACGTGGTTTTAATTAATGAATGACACATTTTATTATTTATTTAATGCTGTATTTATTTAATTTTGGCACTTTTTATCCTCCATACCGTTATGTTTAAAGTGTCAGGGATTTGTTTTAGGAAATTGGTTTTGCATCAGGGGTGTTTTATAGTGAGTTAGAGCAGCGCTCTGCGCTCTGAGAAGGTTGCAAGTTCCCAGTTAGACCCCACTGCCTCCAGTCTGGGTTCCTGAGGAAGACCCTTAAACCCCCACTGCTCCCCGGGCGCCGCACAATGGCCGCCCACTGCTCCCCCTAACCCATTGTGGGAGAATAAAGGGGTTTACAGGTGCTGGTCATAAAATTAGAATATCATGAAAAAGTAGATTGATTTCAGTAATTCCATTTAAAAAGTGAAACTTGTATATTATATTCATACATTACATACAAACTCATATATTTCAGATGTTTATTTTGTTTAATTTTGATGATTACAAATGACAACAAATGAAAATCTCAAATTCATCATATCAGAAAATTAGAATATTGTGAAAAGGTTCAAAATTGATGGCCCCTGGTGCCACACTCTAATCAGCTAATTAACTCAAACCACCTGCAAAAGCCTTTAAATGGTCTTTCAGTCTAGTTCTATAGGCTACACAATCATGGGGAAGACTGCTGACTTGACAGTTGTCCAAAAGACGACCATCGACACCTTGCACAAGGAGGGCAAGACACAAAAGGTCATCGCTAAAGAGGCTGGCTGTTCACAGAGCTCAGTGTCCAAGCACATTAATAGAGAGGCGAAGGGAAGGAAAAGATGTGGTCGAAAAAAGTGTACAAGCAAGAGAGATAACCGCACCCTGGAGAGGATTGTGAAACAAAACCCATTCAAAAATGTGGGGGAGATTCACAAAGAGTGGACTGCAGCTGGAGTGAGTGCTTCAAGAACCACCACACACAGACGTATGAAAGACATGGGTTTCTGCTGTCGCATTCCTTGTGTCAAGCCACTCTTGAACCACAGACAGCGTCAGAAGCGTCTTGCCTGGGCTAAAGAGAAACAGGACTGGACTGCTGGTGAGTGGTCCAAAGTCATGTTCTCTGATGAAAGTAAATTTTGCATTTCCTTTGGTCCCAGAGTCTGGAGGAAAAGAAGAGAGGCACTTCATCCACGTTGCTTGAAGTCCAGTGTAAAGTTTCCACAGTCAGTGATGGTTTGGGGTGCCATGTCATCTGCTGGTGTTGGTCCATTGTGTTTTCTGAGGTCCAGGGTCAACGCAGCCACATACCAGGAAGTTTTAGAGCACTTCATGCTTCCTGCAGCTGACCAACTTTTTGGAGATGCAGATTTCATTTTCCAACAGGACTTGGCACCTGCACACAGTGCCAAAGCTACCAGTACCTGGTTGAAGGACCATGGTATCCCTGTTCTTAATTGGCCAGCAAACTCTCCTGACCTTAACCCCATAGAAAATCTATGGGGTATTGTGAAGAAGAAGATGCAATACACCAGACCCAACAATTCAGAAGAGCTAAAAGCCACTATTAGAGCAACCTGGGCTATCATAACACCTGAGCAGTGCCACAGACTGATCGACTCCATGCCACGCCGCATTGCTGCAGTAATACAGGCCAAAGGAGGCCCAACTAAATACTGAGTGCTGTACATGCTCATACTTTTCATGTTCATACTTTTCAGTTGGCCAACATTTCTATAAATCCTTTGTTTTTATTGGTCTTCAGTAATATTCTAATTTTCTGATATGATGAATTTGAGATTTTCATTTGTTGTCATTTGTAATCATCAAAATTAAACAAAATAAACATCTGAAATACACTATATTGCCAAAAGTATTTGCTCACCCATCCAAATTATTGGAATCAGGTGTTCCAATCACTTCCATGGCCACAGGTGTATAAATTCAAGCACCTAGGCATGCAGACTGTTTTTACAAACATTTGTGAAAGAATGGGTCGCTCTCAGGAGCTCAGTGAATTCCAGCGTGGAACTGTGATAGGATGCCACCTGTGCAACTAATCCAGTCGTGAAATTTCCTCGCTCCTAAATATTCCACAGTCAACTGTCAGCTGTATTATAAGAAAATGGAAGTGTTTGGGAACGACAGCAACTCAGCCACGAAGTGGTAGGCCACGTAAACTGACGGAGCGGGGTCAGCGGATGCTGAAGCGCATAGTGCGAAGAGGTCGCCAACTTTCTGCAGAGTCAATCACTACAGACCTCCAAACTTCATGTGGCCTTCAGATTAGCTCAAGAACAGTGCGCAGAGAGCTTCATGGAATGGGTTTCCATGGTCGAGCAGCTGCATCCAAGCCATACATCACCAAGTGCAATGCAAAGCGTCGGATGCGGTGGTGTAAAGCACGCCGCCACTGGACTCTAGAGCAGTGGAGACGCGTTCTCTGGAGTGACGAATCGCGCTTCTCCATCTGGCAATCTGATGGACGGGTCTGGGTTTGGCGGTTGCCAGGAGAACGGTACTTGTCTGACTGCATTGTGCCAAGTGTAAAGTTTGGTGGAGGGGGGATTATGGTGTGGGGTTGTTTTTCAGGAGCTGGGCTTGGCCCCTTAGTTCCAGTGAAAGGAACTCTGAATGCTTCAGCATACCAAGACATTTTGGACAATTCCATGCTCCCAACTTTGTGGGAACAGTTTGGAGCTGGCCCCTTCCTCTTCCAACATGACTGTGCACCAGTGCACAAAGCAAGGTCCATAAAGACATGGATGACAGAGTCTGGTGTGGATGAACTTGACTGGCCTGCACAGAGTCCTGACCTCAACCCGATAGAACACCTTTGGGATGAATTAGAGCGGAGACTGAGAGCCAGGCCTTCTCGTCCAACATCAGTGTGCGACCTCACAAATGCGCTTCTGGAAGAATGGTCAAAAATTCCCATAAACACACTCCTAAACCTTGTGGACAGCCTTCCCAGAAGAGTTGAAGCTGTTCTAGCTGCAAAGGGTGGACCGACGTCATATTGAACCCTATGGATTAGGAACGGGATGTCACTTAAGCTCATATGTGAGTCAAGGCAGGTGAGCAAATACTTTTGGCAATATAGTGTATATGAGTTTGTATGTAATGTATGAATATAATATACAAGTTTCACTTTTTAAATGGAATTGCTGAAATCAATCTTTTTCATGATATTCTAATTTTATGACCAGCACCTGTATTTTTGTCTGTTTTATTCTTCCTTTGTATTTTTTACCCTCTTTATTTCTTCAACACTATTTCTGCCTCATTATGTAAATGAGGGGTGTGTCTTAGAGAAATAAGCTGATATATATATATATATATACACACATTTGTCTCACTGTATAATTAAATTCTACCTAAATTTATTTGTTTATTGTATTTTTTGGGGGCAATTAATTGAATGCTTATTTATCTATTGAGCATTTATTTCTGTATTTATTTTTAGATATGGCTGAGTTGGTCCTCCATATTCTAAAGCCTAGAGGCGATAAGAGTTGACCAAAAATAAGTCAGCTGCACCAAATTACCATAAATTAAACTTATCTCCTTTGAACTAAAAGCTGCCACCTCCATAAAAAAAAAAAAAAAAAAAAGCTTTTAAGATAAATTTGATCCATCAAGAACTTAACTTCACCTGGTTTAAGGTCTCTAAAATATTTGAGGCACTTTTTGCTTTCTGATTAGACGCAGCATAAAAGGATGTTACTGTCAGATTAAATCTGAAATGCTGGGAAGTGGAGAACCAGCCATGTTTGTAGTTTTTAAGAATCAAGACCGTTTAAAGTTACTGGATTGTTCAGTAAAGGCTCCTTTAGGTATTTTATATTGTTTGTATAATGCTGCTTTAAAGTTTTTCCTACATCTTAATTTTCCTGCCTTTAAATTCTACAGTATTTGCACTTTATTTCAAACCTAGTTTTCTAAAAGCTGAAATTAAAGCACTTTGATCTTCATGCAGAAAAACACAAACAGACTCTGGTGTCTCTTTTATTTTGAAAGCTTTCTTTGTTTACACATCTACATATTTACAGAAACTCAACAAGCATTCAAGAAACAATCTGAACTCCAAACTGGATCCCCCCCCCCCCCCGAACCAAACACACACCCAAAACAGAAATTTACGCACCAGCCTTTCACATTATGCAGAAAAAAAAAACAGAACAGCTAGGTTTATGTACGCACTACCATGCACAGAATGCAAACAAGCTAATCTGCAGCCGCACGCGTCTCAAGACGACTCACAAACAAAAGTATCGAACAGCACGAAGCGCACGAGGCATTCCACACTAATGTGCAACAAGTCTAAAAAGCATCCACTTGGAACAAACACCCACACACAAATTCACTACAGCACAGCTTAAAAATAGACGGACGTTACGTTGGTAGAACGGCTCCCTCTGCAGGCCTCTGTGTGGAGGACAGATGGACTGAATTAAGGTCGGATTTATCGTCTCTCCGCTTCAGAACTAACACTGAAACTCTTTGGCACGCCAGCAGTCCCCCCCCCCCCCCCACTTCATTCTCCACCACACAGAAGCTGGCAGAGCGAGGCGTCTGGGGGAAATGGAAAGAGTCACTGATGGCCGTGCAGCAGGAGGGGGATCAATCAGAATCGTATTTGTCTGCTTCGTCGTCGTCTTCCTCGCCGCTCTGGCCCAGCTCACGCATCACATCCTTCTGGTACCGCTGCCAGTTCCTCCTGCAGTAGGAGTGTTCCTCCTCCCAGTAATCTGGAAAAAAAGGATCAATAAAGGAGTCAAAACCAGTTCAAACCTTTCCAGTTTAATTCAAAGAAGCATTTTTTCATTTAACAGATTTATTCTTTCTGGTCAGTTTAGAGAATAAATATGGTGGATCCCAATTTTTATTTTCTTAACCCTTTAAAGCCCGATCCAAGAATGAAACAAAACAGAAAACTACTTTTTTTTGGTTTGAAGTAGGGATGCACGATATAATCGGCCCCCTATCGGTATCGGCCTTAAAACTGAATATCGGACATCGGCCACCCCACCGATATTTAACCCGATATTTGATCAGCTTCTGAGTTTCTAAAGTCTAAAAAAAAAAAAAAAAAAAAAAACCTACTTCTTCAAAAACTTCTTTTTTACAGACTTAAAAACTTCTAAAGACGAGGGAAAAAATATTTATCCATTAAAATATCCCAATATCTTCATATGCTGATATATTGCCATTTAAAAACACCATATCAATCTCTTTTACTAATGAAATATTGCTATATGTCATCGTTATGCTACGAAATCCCCCGAAAATTCACCAAATGTTGCCATATTTTTATATGTTGATATATTGACGCGGTATCGATCTATTTTACTAACAAAATCTCACAAGAATTTGCAAAATATCAGGAGAGTTTGTAACAGAACCATGACATTTCACCAGATTTTGAAAGTAAAATAGATCGATACCGCGTTTTTAAAAATCAATTTGATATCAGCATATGAAAATATATTTGAGTTTATTATTTTTCAAAGTGTCAGAAATGGATAACAAAACTGCTATTTTCAATGACTACTTATTTTTGTCCAGCTTTAACATCAGTATTGATATTGGTTATCGGCTGCATGAGTTTTTAGGTGGTGTAGTGTGCGAGCGCGCCACACAGAAAATAATCCTGTTTAGAGAAGGAGGTTATGATGCATTCAAAGTGTGTGGGAAGTAGGGTTGTCACGATACTAAACTTTTCAACTCGATACCGATACTAAGGAAAATATTCGATACTTGATACCATTTTCGATACCACAAGGATAAAAACAAAGACTCCAAAAGTCTACAGAAATATTTTCATTAATAAATAAAATACAATAAATAAACACAATAAAGGTTGTTTGCTGTGCATAATATTAAGCAAGCTTGATAAAAAACTTATAAAATTCAAATGAAGCGTTTCTTCCTTGGCTATGCTTTGCACACATAGCATTGACGCTAGCCAAACCAGTTAAGAAACAAAAATAATTCTCAGCAGCTGCACCTCTTACAAAAAAAAAAGTCTGAAACTGAAAAGTGCGTAGAATTATTCAATCACACAGTGTTCAGAAAGTGCATTGTCTTCTATTCTGCACTTTAGATGAATGACTGCTTAGGTGCCACTGGTGACGGCACTGTATCGATACTTTTAAAAACGAGTATTGTATCCGGATACAACATTTCAGTATCGATACTTTTTTGAGTTTTGATACTTTTGACAACCCTAGTGGGAAGTCACGCAACCTTGTACTCGGTGGTTGCGATAGTCATTTTACCTACGGCTCGTGGAAAAACTCAAGAAAAATTTAATACAATTAAAAAATCTACACCAAACAAGTCTTTAACTACTGACAAAAAAATTCTGGATTTTCAAGGAAGGAATCTTATCGCCATTTTCACAGGGTCCTACAGCATAAGGCAAGTTAAATTCAAGACCTTTTAAAGACTTCTTAATGCCACTTGAAATAAAAATTTAAGACCAAATTCACAAGAAACACAAGAAAAACCTGCTAGCGACAACTTAACCCAAAGGTTTATTTTAACATAAACCACTGCACTAATGCTTCAAATGTTGAAAAGCTTCCCATACAGGAAGAAAGCTAAAAATACACAAATGACAGATATATTTGAACAATTATTTAACTGAATTCACAAACTTTGTTTTAGCAGGGAACAAAACAAATCAGTTTTAAAGCCCCAACATAACCAGTGCTAAGTCTTTTTAGCAGCTATTTTTCTTTGTATGGTTTTCTTAGTCTGTTTGATTTGGTGATAAGTGGAGGCGTTGCAGAGACAAGGGTGGAACTAAACTGAGAAATACCGGCTGTTTCTCTGTAACTCCATTTTGACGCTTTGTGTTTCGTGCTTCGCATGTGCGACTCCACTGCCTTCATTCCCATCGTTCTGAGCTTGAATGACTTCTTGCACTAAATCCACTGAGCCTCATGTATGTTCCCTGGTTTTAGCCATGGAGGAAACTCTTGGCTGGAGACAATTTTCCTTACATTTACACTTGCTCATATTTTCCAGACAAAAAGTTAATGGTGCATCTCCCAAATGTCCCGACCGCAACAACGCTTTATTGGTTCCGCTGTCGGGACGGAACCAATAATGGAGAGCCATTTTTTTTTTTAAATAAAAAGGTCAATTTTAATGTTTTATTTAAATTACAAAAATAAATCATAATAAAAATAATCCTATTTATGATGTTTTAAAAATTAAGACCTATGAAAGACTGATTTAAGACATTTTAATACCAATTAAGGCCTTAGTTTTATTTTGAAGAATTCAATGCCTTTTAAGACTTTTTAAGGACCCGTGGGAACCCTGTGATGCATTCAAAGTGTGTGGGAAGTCATGCAACTTGGTACTCGATGGTTGCAACAGTCATTTTACCTACGGCAGGCAAAACTCAAGAAAAATTTAATTAAACTAAAAAAATCTACACCAAACAAGTCTGACAAAAAAAATTCTGGATTTTTCAAGGAATGAATCTTATTATTGCCATTTTCAAAAGCTTTCCAGGACCTTAAAATCTGTTTTAACCGGTTGATAAACTTTAGAGGATTTCAAGGATCCTTGTGAACCAGTAAGGAACGAGAGCGCCACCTGTAGGGAGTTCAAACTTGTATTCAGCACCTCTAAAAATCAGCTGTTTAACATCACAGCCAGTTTTCTTTTAATCTGCTCCTAAACGCCTCCAGCTGTTTCTGTTCACATGAACCGAGACTTTCTGCTGAAACAGAACTGAAAGCGTCTGTTTTACAGAAGTCCACCAGGATCCCTTTACAAGAACTTAAAAAACAAAAGAAAAAAAACCCAAGAAGCTCTCATGATTTTCCTAAATCAGCAGGAACTGAATAAAATAACGTTCCTGAAACAGCAGAAAATTAATTCTAGGGGTGAATATTGCGATACGATACACGATGCGATATTATCACTACCGTAAATTCCGGACTATGAGCCACTACTTTTTTCCCGCTGTTTGAACCCTGCGGCCTATAATACAGTGCTGCTAATAAATGTTTTTTTCATGGCGCTCTGGACATCAGTGTGAACCGTGCATTTAAAGCGGCAGTGCGCAGTGAGTGGGAGACGTGGAGAGAAATCCTTCACCAAAACTGGCCGCATGCGAAGGGCATCTTTCCCTGATGTCTGCCAGCGGGTTCTCAATGCGTGGAGCCGTGTGAGAACATCCAGCATCACCGGCGGGTTTCGGAAGGCCGGGCTGCTGCGGGATGAAGAAGACGGCGAGTGCTCAGGTGAGAGCGACAAGGATGAGACTGAAGTCAGCGACGGCATCCTCAAGCCGTTCCATTCAGACACCGAGGAAGACGACTTTGAGGGTTTTAGTGCCCAGGAGGAAGAAGAAAGTGATTAATGACTTCTCCTGGTAGGCTGCAATGTTCTGTGCGTTGTTAAATTAAAAGTACCGTTATTTAATTAAAAATATGTACCATATTTTTTTGTTTTATCATACGGATTAAATCAAACGTTAAAAAAATGCTCAAGTGTAGGCCTGTCACAAAATTTTGCTGAACAATTAATGGTCTCAACTTATTGCGATTATTTCTATTTAACCCTATAATGCCAAATGTATCATATTTGATACATACGGTTTCTGAAATGTTTTGCGTCTGACACCTTTTGCATAATTTAATGGTAAAAATTTTGCTTAAAATCCTATTGTACACAATCAGATATAACTGATATAGGGGTGTAAATCACACCCATCATGGCGATTCGATTCAGTATCGATTTCCTGACCCAACGATTCGATTATTTTCGATACTCAAGAATACACCACGATTCGATTAATCGGTTAAGTTTTTTTTCTTTAGTTTTTTTTTTTTTTTTACACCTTACAGACTAAACAAAGTTTCAAGTTTGAAATAAATCAATGAAAGCTGTAATATCGTTATGCATTTTCTTTAGAAACAATCGCATATAAGTTTTATACTTATTGAAGACCTTTTTACTCGGATTTAATGGAAATGACGTAATAATGCATGTGGTTTCCTGCCAAAGATAAACAATTTATTTTCGTCAGAACACTTAAAACTGCAACTGGTTAACAAAATAAAACAAGAAATAAAAATCAAATGGACTCAGTCTCTGATAACTAAAAATACACTTGAATAAAAACTAAATACAAATAAAACCACAGTGTAAATAAAAATTACATTCAACCAAAAGAGTACAGATAATGAAGCCTGTAGAGGAATCGCCGTTGGTGATGTGCATGTTTTCTGGGGAATTCATCCTGTCTATCAAATGTCTGCAACATTTTTCTAAATGCCGTCTTTTCAACTATATTAAATGGAAGCATCTCTTTAGCAATTAAATGAACTACGCCGTCTGTGAGCGCGCGCCACTTTGCGCCGTCCTTGTTGTATGCTGCCTGTCGATTAATTGCTTCAGTGATGGTGGACTGTCGCAAACTTGAAGACGCAGACGACCACCGCTTGTACTTTTTGTTTCCAGCTGGAGAAACTTTGCTGGGTGGTTGTGCTTTAGCTGCATGTGTAGGTTGGTTTTATTGCTGCTTTTAGTTGCTACTGTTATGACAAATGCGACATACTGGCTCGCATAGGTTCAGCGGTTCGCCTCGGTCATTTGGTTTGAATCTGAAATACTTCCACACTGCGGCTGTTACGCTTTGAAACCAGTTCCATTTGGAGCTTTTTCCTCCAACATACGATGTGGGTTTTTTTTTTTTTTACCTCGCTTACTCCTCTAACTCCTCACGGGGCTCTAAAGCTGTAGAAGTACAAAATGATGCGCGCTGACTACCTGATGCGATAGTCCCTCCCCCTCGCTCCTCATTTTTTCCCTTCATAGTCAGTGGAATGCACCGGAGTTAAGCCTTTTCATCCAGCGTCATCAATAGAAGGAGAAAAACACAGGCAGAGACGATATAGCCGATAAATGAAATGACGTGGATGGTTTTTATTGATTTATTGATTTTCGTGACAGGCCTGCTCACGTATAATATCTTTATTTGTAAATATCTCATACAACGTGGGAAACCTGCGGCTTAAAATCCGGCGCGGCTTATAAAAGTACAAAATTGATTTTCTTTTCCTTAAATTAGAGGGTGCGGCTTTTAATCAGGTGCGCTTTATAGTCCGGAATTTACGGTAAACCTCTGTATATGTTCATCAGATGATATTGATGGTTCAGTTATTTTGGTATCCATGTTGTTGGAGTCAGTCCCCGTCTTCCACTGTGACTCAACTATAGATATAACGCTCAGGTAAAAATGGTTTGCTCCAAAAAAAAAAAAAGAAAACATACTAGGAACTATAGATTTCTATTGTGTCAGGCAGCCATATTGCCAAAACAATATTTTCCCCAAACCCCCCACTGTCTTCCCTCAGCGCCAACTGTAATGAATCTAGGGCTGCAACAACGAATCGATAAAAATCGCCTTTTAAAAGCGTCGGCAACGGATTTCATCATCGATTAGTTGTGTCACGCGATTAATGCGTCATCCGCCGCCGTCGTCATCACTGCCACTCGATTGAAACGCAGGAAGAAAAAAAATACGGCAGAGCAAGCCAACGCTCTATTGACCGATACCGCAAATGCAAGCTGCGTCTCAATTCGCAGACAGCCTGCGCTTTGTAAAGCGAAAAAAGTCGTAACATGCAACTTTAGTAAAAACAAATGAACATGGCGCGAAAGCACCACTGTTATGATGCAGCACCTGAAAAGGAAACACGTTGTAGCCTTCGATTGCAGTGAAGAGAGCTGATCAGCAGGGTGAGCGGCCATGTTTGTTTCGTTTTAAAGGCACACTATGCAACATTTTTCAGTTAATTAATGTGTTCCATAACGTTTTGGATGATTAAATGAGTCATTTCAGGTTGAACAAAGGTATTCTCGGCCGCCCAGGTGGTCTGTAGGGGAAATACCGCACTTGCAACTGCAGGAGCCCTCGGCCCGCACCCACAGGCTCAGAAGTCTCGCGAGAGTCGGTCTTGCTTTACGGCGAGAACTGCTACACGCCCCCAGTTAAAAGCATGCTCGTTGCTAGCGCAGTGGCGATCTTTGTGCAGTTATCATGGCGGAACCAGCGTGAAAACAGCGAAAGCCCATGTCGGAGCAGGCAAGAAAGAGGAAAAGGGCTCCGGACAGAGAGAGGAGTCGTACACGGGTGAACATCGGGCAAGCTTTTTCCGAATGGCGAGAGCTAAAATAAAAAGAAGGCTGCAAGGCTGACACGGACCTCGCGTTTCTGCTGATGCGATTGTAAGTAACATTGGAATGGTTTCTCTCTCTCTGTGTGCATGTTCATACTTTCACTGTGTTAGTCATTCGTTGCGTTCGCCTGTCTGCTAAGCTCAAAACAACCGCGCCTGGCTTGACGGAGAAACCAGGAGAACAGCTGAGCATATTTACGAAAGTGCACTTTTACTTTCGCCCTCTGGGGGGAGCCTCGCTGGAAAATCAACACCGGTTAAAGTGGGGAAACGTAACGTTAGTTTCTCAGGTAGCTCATCTGATGCTTTCCTTACCGTGTTAGTAGGTTACAGACAGTGATAAGGTTGGCTACTTATTTTACTTTTAATTTCATTTGAATTAGCTTAAGCAGCGTTTATATTTTCTTTATAAATAAATTAACTTGCAAATTATGAGGGCAAGGCTTTTAAAGTTTAAATCTTCTGGCGAAGATAAAGTAAAGAAGATCCTGCAATTTATGGAAGTAAAGCAGAATAAAATCCAGCAAGATCAGTAATATGTCAATTAATTATCTGCCACATTCCCATGTAAATATCTGTCTTTGGAGGATGTGTTTTTTAGCACCCCTAGTTCTCTCATTTTTATTCCAAATACAATTTATAATTTGAATCACAGGGCTATTTTTATCTCTATGGTTCAGTATTTTCTCAAGTAGCAACTTTAACTGCTATACTTTCCTGTCTTAAAAGGCAGAACTCTTCTAGTCTAAAAAAAAATCATTTGTTGAAATGGGGGGGCCTATTGTTTGAACCCCTTAGGGGCTTTAAAAACAAAAATGTCTTTTTTTGCGCTTTATGAAACAAAGTAGCCTATATTTTGTGGATGTACAGCTACATTTCTCATGTAAGTTTGCGTAGTTTTAACACAAACATTTATTTTTCATATTGCACCAGGACAGTTAATGAGCAACCTGTACTTGTGTGCTTGTTTGTTCTGTCTAAAATGTTTATTTTGGAATAAAGAGGTTAATATAAAAAATATTTTTTGTCCGATTAATCGAATAAATAATCGTCCGATTCATCGATTTTTAAAATAATCGTTAGTTGCAGCCCTAAATGAACCCCAGAGAGGCGTCTACCTCCATAGCGCTCCTCTTTGTCGCCGTCTGAATCGCTGTCCTCATCAGGATAGTCATTCCTCCAGTTGCTTTCTTCGTTTTCATCGTCTTCGTCTTCATAGACTTCCTCTTCATGAACCACTAGATCTGGAACCTGAAGGAAAGGAGCAGAGTTTCTGATCTCATTCTTCTGGATACAATAATATAAAATCTATGAGTATAAATGTTTAGGAATAAAATCAGTTATAAAAAGATGCTTTAAGGAACTCTATCATAAGAATGTATTTAACCAAATTAAAGAGGTTATATCTAGAAGTCTCTCGTTTTCCTCCAGACCTAGAACTGAACCTGATCTTAATCTTAAAACTGCAGTAAAAGGAAAAAGCAGCAGCTCCTCTAGTAGCTCCTCCCATTTCTTCAGTCACTCACTCCGAGTCCAGCACTCATTCATCTGTCCGTCCATCCATCCACACACACCAGTTCTCCCTCGTCAGCGTAGGCCCTGACAGACAGGATGTCCTGGATCCAGCCTGGTGTGAGCGCTTCCTGGTAGTAAAGGTCATAAACGTAGTCGTCCTCCTGCTCACGGTGCTCCGACCCCAACTTCTCTCCCGATATGTCCAACCGCTCCCGCAGCATCTTGGTGTTGTTACAGAGAATCACCTCAGGGTCTGATGGGAGCATCTTTGGAGAAAAACCAAGAGCAAAGTTAAACCAAACATCATGAATCACGTTTCTTCGCCCGCTTTATTTACAAACATGCAGGTTTCTCTAATGGCTGCTTTAGATTTCTGTTGAATTATTTTTATTTTATTCCAATTAACAGTTCTATGATGAAGAACATGGATGAAGAAGCCTCTCCAAGGCCAAGAAACACAGCAGACGGACAGAATTAAAACATGGGAGGAGGACGCCCCCCTGAACAGGACGCCATGGTGAGATGAGAACCTCTCTCCCGCACCGTGGTCTGTCCATTATTAAGAGTCTGATAGAAATGAAAGGTTGGAACTGATCATTGATTCTCAATAGCTAATCTCCTTTGTAGCCGCGTCTCTTCCTGTCAAACTAATTACTGCTGAACTGCAGCTCAGTCTGACTGAAATAGATCTGGGTCTATCTCTAGAGCAACAGATGCCCCCTGCAGAAACCCACTCTGATGCGTTCATCCTCACTGACAGCGAATGAGCGCGTGACCTCCAACGACGATCAGATCCGACGTTAGATCTGATCGTGGTTCAAGGCTTATGCATGTGAAAGCTGTTGAAATGAAGAGGTGTGTCCCAAAAGCTGACACTGCAGGGCTAGATGTTAACCATCGCCCGGGGCAACTAGTTTTTATTGTTGGGAGAGTACAAACAGGGTTCCTACAGCATAAGGCAAGTTAAATCCAAGACTTTTTAATGCCACTTGAAATAAAAATTTAAGACCAAATTCACAAGAAACACAAGAAAAACCTGCTTGCGACAACTTAACCCAAAGGTTTATTTTAACATAAACCACTGCACTAATGCTTCAAATGTTGAAAAGCTTCCCATACAGGAAGAAAGCTAAAAATACACAAATGACAGATATATTTGAACAATTATTTAACTGAATTCACAAACTTTGTTTTAGCAGGGAACAAAACAAATCAGTTTTAAAGCCCCAACATAACCAGTGCTAAGTCTTTTTAGCAGCTATTTTTCTTTGTATGGTTTTCTTAGTATGTTTGATTTGGTGATAAGTGGAGGCGTTGCAGAGACAAGGGTGGAACTAAACTGAGAAATACCGGCTGTTTCTCTGTAACTCCATTTTGACGCTTTGTGTTTCGTGCTTCGCATGTGCGACTCCACTGCCTTCATTCCCATCGTTCTGAGCTTGAATGACTTCTTGCACTAAATCCACTGAGCCTCATGTATGTTCCCTGGTTTTAGCCATGGAGGAAACTCTTGGCTGGAGACAATTTTCCTTACATTTACACTTGCTCATATTTTCCAGACAAAAAGTTAATGGTGCATCTCCCAAATGTCCCGGCCGCAACAACGCTTTATTGGTTCCGCTATCGGGACGGAACCAATAATGGAGAGCCATTTTTTTTTTAATAATAAAAGAAATTGTCAATTTTAACGTTTTATTTAGATTACAAAAATAAATCGCAATAAAATAATCCTATTTATGACGTTTTAAAAATTAAGACCCACGAAAGACTGATTTAAGACATTTTAATACCAATTCAATGTCTTTTAAAGCTACAGTGTGTAATAATTACAGGGATATACAGTCAGAAATTTAATATATTATACATAACTATGTTATTTATCATCATCTACGAGCTCAGCCTCTTAACCTTAATATTTGCGTTGCCTTAGAATTCGTTATTTATAATTACATAGGAGCGGGTCTCGCAGCCATGGAGGCAGACATCTTTGCGCTACGGCAGCGCAGAGCCAACAAACTAGCGATTGCGAGATCGCCAAAACGTCACAACGATGTAGAAAAAATAACGGGTATATTTATTATCCTAAGTCTACATGAAATCTATACCCTACACAGACTAATGAAATACTATCTGTAAAATTATCTATGTAAACAAACCTCATCACTTGAGAAGGTAGGTGATGCGGACGTCGTGGAAGACATTTTGTCCCGTAACGCTCGCCGTACTGTTGGGGGGAGAAGCGGTGGGGGGGAGATGTTCATGTTGCTGTAGTCTGCAGTCTGACCGCTAGATGTCGCTAAAAGTTACACACTGTAGCTTTAAGACTTTTTAAGGACCCGCCGGGCAAGTGCAATGATCCCCCCCCCAAAAAATATTTATCACTCAAAATTACTTTAAAATCACCGACATTCGATGAAAACGACCCAGAAGCGTTGTTGGCGCCATTTTTGTTGTTTTGCTCTCCTTCCTGCGTGATTTGAAAAAGCCGGGTGATTTTCCGCCAGACGGCGTGATCAATTGTGAGCAAATCAATCACTGTCATTTACTGCCTTCATGGTTTGGTTGAAATGATTTTAAAATGTGCAAAAACCCATCATCGTTGGTGGAAGTTAGAGAACTAACAGCGAAACATTAATGTGACGTTAACAAAGGAACTAATCATTAAAGCCGCCCGTTAGAAACTAGAAATTTAGGGGATCATTACTGCTATATTCTATAGCTTGCTCCCTGTCCTGCTGTCGGGGATGTAGCTCGTTCAACCCAAATTCTTCGCCAGGTGACATCATCACATAATTTGGATATTTGTTAAGGCTTTGATTCAGCCATAGAAGAAAAATAGCAAAAAAGAAAATGATTAAAAATACTCCAAATATGTTAAGAACCCAAGATCACCTTTATTGAACAATTCCTGGTTTTAACAGAGGGACACAGAAGATGAAGCGGTTTATTAATTAAATACAGTGAGGATCTATTTTAGTTTAAGAGGTTAAACAATATGCAAATTATTATATTTACATCCCACTAAATTCAGAGGGGATCATTGGAAGCTTTGTGCTTGTGTGGCTCATGTTTAACGGAGAAACAGGAGAACCTCCTCCTCCTCTCTGCCAGCTGAAACAGGCTGCAGCTTCTGCATCAACCCCTTTGTTTTGGAGGAGGGAGGGGCTCAACGACAGACAGACTCAGGGTGATCGCCGTTTTCACGTCAAGACATTAAAACGTTGCAAAATTTGTTGCTAGTTGCTTTTTGGAAGAAAGTTGCTAAAGGGATTTGAAAATTTGGCAACAGCGTGTTGACGTGCCTCGATGAGCCGCTGACAACCTTAAAGCTGCGGGATTCAGGTTTTCACAGTACTTCTCAAACATGGCCGTTACGCTCATTAAAAGTCGCACATCGGAAATATTTTCAACACAACATTTAGTTTCTTTGGGTAACAGCCCGTTATGCCAAAATACGCTGGTTATAAAACCTGGATATGATTAACTATTTCACTTGTTTTTGGACCAAGTCCACGACTCCATTAATACTGTTTGTGACATGTTACATACCCCGTACCTTGACTATGAAACGTCCTTAAATATAAGTTTTAAATGTTTAAACCAAACCTTTGGGAAAATAGCTACAGCAAATTGAAACCAACCCCACCTTCCTCAGTGGCTTGTCTGGGTCCTCCACCGCCTCATGGACGAGATCCACCACCTGGATTTCTCCAAGACCCCAACATTTCTCCAGCCTGCTATCATCCGCAGCCTCTGAGGCATCTGTCTGGGGGGGCTCCTGCTCAGTCTGCCTGGACAGCCCAGCGCGGTGGCTCGACAGTATTCTGTAGCGTTCCTCCCTCCGGGTGCTCCACTTGGTGCTTCTCAGGTCCCCGATGATCCGCTGTGAACTAGCAGCAGAGGGGCGTAAGGCGTGGGCTGCGCGGGGTCTGGCGAGAGCGTGTCGGACCTGAGTCTGGACTGGAGCATCCTGGTGGAGGGAAGACAGAAAAGCTTTATTACCATTAAAATAGGCTGATAGGAATAGGAAATGAGACAGACTCAATATACAGGTGCTGGTCATAAAATTAGAATATCATGAAAAAGTAGATTGATTTCAGTAATTCCATTTAAAAAGTGAAACTTGTATATTATATTCATACATTACATACAAACTCATATATTTCAGATGTTTATTTTGTTTAATTTTGATGATTACAAATGACAACAAATGAAAATCTCAAATTCATCATATCAGAAAATTAGAATATTACTGAAGACCAATAAAAACAAAGGATTTATAGAAATGTTGGCCAACTGAAAAGTATGAACATGAAAAGTATGAGCATGTACAGCACTCAGTATTTAGTTGGGCCTCCTTTGGCCTGTATTACTGCAGCAATGCGGCGTGGCATGGAGTCGATCAGTCTGTGGCACTGCTCAGGTGTTATGATAGCCCAGGTTGCTCTAATAGTGGCTTTTAGCTCTTCTGAATTGTTGGGTCTGGTGTATTGCATCTTCTTCTTCACAATACCCCATAGATTTTCTATGGGGTTAAGGTCAGGAGAGTTTGCTGGCCAATTAAGAACAGGGATACCATGGTCCTTCAACCAGGTACTGGTAGCTTTGGCACTGTGTGCAGGTGCCAAGTCCTGTTGGAAAATGAAATCTGCATCTCCAAAAAGTTGGTCAGCTGCAGGAAGCATGAAGTGCTCTAAAACTTCCTGGTATGTGGCTGCGTTGACCCTGGACCTCAGAAAACACAATGGACCAACACCAGCAGATGACATGGCACCCCAAACCATCACTGACTGTGGAAACTTTACACTGGACTTCAAGCAACGTGGATGAAGTGCCTCTCTTCTTTTCCTCCAGACTCTGGGACCTTGATTTCCAAAGGAAATCCAAAATTTACTTTCATCAGAGAACATGACTTTGGACCACTCACCAGCAGTCCAGTCCTGTTTCTCTTTAGCCCAGGCAAGACGCTTCTGACGCTGTCTGTGGTTCAAGAGTGGCTTGACACAAGGAATGCGACAGCAGAAACCCATGTCTTTCATACGTCTGTGTGTGGTGGTTCTTGAAGCACTCACTCCAGCTGCAGTCCACTCTTTGTGAATCTCCCCCACATTTTTGAATGGGTTTTGTTTCACAATCCTCTCCAGGGTGCGGTTATCTCTCTTGCTTGTACACTTTTTTCGACCACATCTTTTCCTTCCCTTCGCCTCTCTATTAATGTGCTTGGACACTGAGCTCTGTGAACAGCCAGCCTCTTTAGCGATGACCTTTTGTGTCTTGCCCTCCTTGTGCAAGGTGTCGATGGTCGTCTTTTGGACAACTGTCAAGTCAGCAGTCTTCCCCATGATTGTGTAGCCTATAGAACTAGACTGAAAGACCATTTAAAGGCTTTTGCAGGTGGTTTGAGTTAATTAGCTGATTAGAGTGTGGCACCAGGGGCCATCAATTTTGAACCTTTTCACAATATTCTAATTTTCTGATATGATGAATTTGAGATTTTCATTTGTTGTCATTTGTAATCATCAAAATTAAACAAAATAAACATCTGAAATATATGAGTTTGTATGTAATGTATGAATATAATATACAAGTTTCACTTTTTAAATGGAATTACTGAAATCAATCTACTTTTTCATGATATTCTAATTTTATGACCAGCACACACCACCACAGTTAAGGCCTGCTTATCCTCCTGCAGCAGTGCATCGCAGTGAGCTTGATGCAGATATTTTTGATTTATGCCCAACATTGAAGCGTGGTGTGCTCTATGTTATTCCACGCCACAACGCCAGAGGGCCAATCAGGAACTAGCTGGGAGTCTAGATATGGCCGAGGCGGGGAGGAAGTGGGGGTAAGTCTGTGTGACAATCCACAATGGCGGTCATACAAACAAAACAAGCCGGTTATGCTACGTTCACAGCGGACGCAGCAGGAGCAGCAAAATCGCGTCTGCTGCTTCATTTTCGCTGCTTGTACCAGTTAGTTCTGACGCGCGGCTATCCTTTCTTTGCCTTTGCTGTGATCAGTGGGAATAAAGTAGTTTTAATATGTTTTTAAGTGAGAAAATCCACCTGAAAACTTCATCAGTGCAGTCAGTTCATCCAGATTACCATCCTGCCTTCCAGTATTATTTCTGTCGGAGCCGCTCAGACCCCCACACACCAGCGGTGCACAGTAGGATCCCATCAACAGCAGCCTCTGGCCGGGTCGCCTCCTCGCGGTTCACCGCGGCGGCTGGAAGGTGTTTTTCATCAAAATAATCCAAACTGCAGGCAGCAGAATAATAAAAGCGAACATATTTTGTTGGGAGGTTTCAGCATTTTAAGTCAATTTAGACGTTAATAAACTGTTTCAGAGGAGCGATCACAGCGCTCTGTATCATCAGCGATGTGTCTGTCTCCCTGCCAGCTCCCAGATCAGCTTCTCTGATTGGTTGATGCGGTACGTAGAGCAGCAAAAGTTAAATTTTTCCATCTCGAGCAGCAGCGCGTTTGCGGCGCATCGCGCGCGTCAGATGCTTAAACGCTCCCGACGCGCTGCTTCAGCTGCTCAGACGTGCTGCAGGACCGTTTGATGCGCCTTGACGCGCGTCAACCATTGACTTTGCATGTAAACTCGCTGCTTCTGTCGCGCCTGCTGCGTCTGGTGTGAACGTAGCACAAGGAACCAAACAGGAATTCCCCATACTGTATAGGGGATGTAGATCTGACCAATCAGAGGCCTCCTGTCTGCGTTCCCCTACGATATTGGAGAGGTGCAACAGAGAGTCTGTGGAAGGGGCGGGGCTTATTTGCGTTCACTGCGACACACACGCAGACGACCTGGTTTCTGAGTATAAACCAGCCTTCAGTGTTACTAAAAGCCTAACTTAACCTTCCATAGCAACATCAGTTATAGGCTGTTAAATCTTAGATGTCTCCTCATAACTGGTACTTAAATTTTATTGATCTCACATTGCAGAAATTTACATTTGCATTTAACCCACCCCCTTAGGGAGCAGTGTGGGGTTAAGGGTCTTTGCTCAGTGACCCAGAGTGGCAGTCTGTGGGAGTGGGGGTCAAACTCAGAACCTCAGGATTCACAGCTCTAAGCCATAACCACTAAAACTCACTCTGTGAAACCACTGAACAGCCAACTGGTCTAACTCATGTCATGTAATCATATTTGAGTTTATACCGCCTCATTTAGCTTAAAAAAATGCATTTTAAATAACTGCAATCTGAGGCACCCAGTCATTGTCTTGATTATTTGAGTTTCTTTATACTTTAGAGCACTAAAGATGTGTGATGTAGAAACCTCACACCCTCAATGAATGATCAAAAACATAATTATTAAACAAACATTAAGTAACATTGTTTTAGAGTTAAGCAAATATCTGTTGAAAAAAAAAACATCTCTGATATTAGGAGAAATAAAAACTAGTGAATATAGCTCAGTTTAACGCAGCATCCATGATGAACGTCAACAAAACGAGCTAACATCTGTTAGCTTAGCATGCAGGCTAAGCTAACAGCAGAGCGGGCTTTGTTTCCCCCGGTGCCCCTGATGAAGTCACCCAGGCTGACAACCTCTAAACCAAAGAATAACTCTGCAGCTGCTCTGTCCACTAACGGGGACGCTGTAGTCATTAAACTGCCCGCGCCATGTCATCCACCAGCTGCGTTTCTTCCCGGGCTAACCGCCCGCGGCGGGCCTCTCACCTGTGTCGCTACGGTCGCCACGAGTTTGAACACTGAGTTCTCCACCTCGGCTTCGTTGGGCTCCGGTACCGTTTCCCCTGCGTTCTGGGAAGACTCGGGTCGGATACGCTTACATGCTAGCAGCAGAGAATCAGCGGGGTCTGTCCCCCTTTTTCTTTTCACTCGCAGAATGGTCGTGTTGGGATCCATGATCGTTCTCTCGCGTCTGCTTCTCTGCCTGTCTGTCAGAAAGAAGATATCGCGAGAACTGTCGGTCGCTGCTCCTTCTTCTCCGCGGAGTTCAGCAGACGACAAATATATGCAGATGGCTCATTGCTGCCACCTGCAGTCATGTTTTATACTTTGCAAGCCTTGTATGTTTATATGGGGATGGGTAAACTACCCAAATATTTTACTGAAGCTAAAATAAAAAAGTATAAACATTGATATTTTCTACCGTTTTTTTTATCGTTCTAACTTTTAAGCAATTCATTGTATTTTTGCAGTTTTTTTTAAAACTATAATGTCCATTTAAGATGATCTTTTCTTCTTTTTACTGATCTATCTTACTTTTTATGTTATTGTCAGTTGATAGTTCCTTTACAGTGATTTTTAAATCAAGATGGTATGGTAAAAAGGTTATTCAAGTATTGAGTAATTTTCGGATCCCAACATTCATTTTTGATTGATTGATTGATTGATTTTATTGATCTCACAGTGGAGAAATGTACTCGTTATGTCAGCTCAAATAGTCAAAAAGAAGAAGGTGCCAAAGGAAGAAAAGGTGCATGCGGGTATATAGTATATAAAGTGCATCCACATATCTCTCTCTCTATATATATGACAGCTGAAGTCTCTTTTTTTATATAATGATTATTATACGGGGTTATTGCACAGGGTATTAAATAGTAATTGCATATTATCTCATTGCAGAGTCTGATTGCAGCAGGGATGAATGACCTGTGGTAGCCCTTCTTTTTACAAACAGGGTGTAGTCCAGCGAACACTTATTCTGTATTTTTAAATCAGTTTTGAGGAGTTATAGCTGTTTTTATTTATTTTTAGATTTGTATTTTACATTGTAGCATGCTTACTGTTGTGTTTTTTTGGGTAGACAATTTTAATATCTGTCCAGGGACAACAGATGAAAAATAGCCTTTTGGCTAATTCTGGTGCATTTGCAGGAATGCTTTTTAATGTACACTGTCCCTGTCAAATAAATATATAAATTAAATTAATTAAAGTCTTTGACTAAAGGAGCTGCTCTGCTCCTCTACATTCTAGTGCAGAGGGTGGAAGGTGTCGTCCATGATGGATGTGAGCTTGGACAGCACATATTTCCACAGAGCTATAAAGGTCTGGGTAAGGCTATGACATTAGAACATTTAACAAATGGTCTGCACCTTTATAAGGTGAAGTATTACTAAATAATGACCTAGAAGTACTACTCTGCAAGTTTATGGGCAGAAATGCAGAAAAAACAGAAAAAGAGGAGGATGGTAAATGGCTGGAGGTGAGGACTTAAAATAAATCAGTGAACACAATCAATGTCAGGGTTAAATTACGCTATTTATGGATACAACAGAGTATGAGCCCAAACACATCGGAAAATCTGTAGTCAGAAATCATAAAGTATAAGAAAAGTTTAAACAGATGCTTTTGTAAGTCAAATCTTTATCCTTTACATAACATAAATAACATAATGCAATACAGGGACATAGAGGGGTGGATGAGAGACAGGGGCTGACCAACAGGTAGCAGTAACACTTAACTGCAGGAAGGGTTGATTAGTACAACAGCACGCTGAGCAAATTTAATAAAAATCGAATAAATGCCTCCATACCAGTGAGGCACTGAGCTTGAGCTTTAGATTTGGGAGATGTGGATTTTATTTACTTGTGTTTGGAAAATATTTACAGTAATCTACATGGAGATGAATAAAACATTTTAATTTTAGTTTTTAATGGCTAAACTCTAATGCGTTCAAACTAATCAAACCATTTTACTAGCTTAGGTTTCTATAAGAAGCCTAACATGGAGGAATATAATATTAATATTGTAATTATAGCATCAGTTTTTCACTTTTATTAAAAGTCCAATTCTTTTTTTTTTTACATTAATAATGTTTTATGTTGGAAAGTTAGTACCTAAATAAATCTTTCAACAACCATTAAATCTAAACATTGAAACATAAAAAAATCTAAATCTATATCTAAATCCCTTTAATTCAATTCAATTCAGTTTATTTCTATAGCTCCAATTCACATCATGTCATCTCAGGTCACTTTCCAGTTCACCAGATCATCCAGTCAGATTGATTCAAAGTTTTCTATCTAAGGAAAACCAGCTGATTGCATCGACTCATTGACTCTTCAGCAATCCCTCACACTAAGCATGCTTGTAGCGACAGTGGAGAGGAAAAACTCCCTGTGAACAGGAAGAAACCTCCAGCAGAACCAGGCTCAGTGTGAGCGGCCATCTGCTGAGGCCCACTGGGGTTCAAGGAGACAGAAGCAGACATAGAAATAGAAGCATAGATACAAAAAGCAGCTGTAAAAGGCGGCCCCGTCCAGGAAACACACAGCCAGGCCAACAAGCTCAGAGCCAGCTCCCATTTAAGGTCAGGCTCAGCGATATGGCATCAAAACTATTACCTAAGCAACATACCTACTAACTTTTACCTACCTGTTACGGCCCCTGGCCTTTTAAGACTGTGCAGACTTTTCTTCTGCAGGTTCAGCTCTGATAGATCTTCCTTAGTGGCTGCCTGAGGACTGCAGAGCAGCAGTGACATGATTGGACCAGCAGAAGAGTGTCAAGCCAATCAGGATGCTGATGAGGCCCACCTGCACCTTATAAAAGGCTCCTGAAAAGCTTTCAGTTTGGGGAAAGCTAGTAGGAAGGTTTTGTTAAGCCGTTCCTCCACCTTTGTTTTCAATCTGTTTTGGGAAGATAGAACTCTATACTTTCCTTAATCTGCTTTAGGTGGACTTGTTCAAGCTACTAGCTTGTGTTTGGGAGGTTTGGTGCTCCCTTTGTCTTTTTTCTCTGGTTGTTTTGCGTTAAAACTTAGTCTGACTGGTTTGGGCAGTTTGTAATTTTATTGAATTTGTTTACACTTATCCTCTGTTTTGTTTTGTTTCAATTGGGTTAAGCTATATTGTGTATTGGGTCTGTTTAACCATCTTTTGTAATAAATCATTTTTACCTTCCCCCAAACTGCTCTGGACACATTATTTATGTTACCTCCCCAAGACCCCTAGACTTTGGGCGTAACACTACCTAATCTAATGGATTTTTTTTTAAAGGATCATTTTAAGTTGCATTACATAAAATTGACATCTATAACGTGGGAGCGAAATATTAATTTGTGTGCAAAATACTAACGTGCCCAGGAAATACCAATTTCTTCTCTCGAAAAACTCATTACAATAGATAATGTACAGCACTTCCCATCTCTTCAGACATGAGGTCATATGTGTCTGAGAACATATTAAAGTGGTATGCAGATTCTCGGTCACTTGGAAGCGACAGACACACTAATAGACTGACATCACTAAAGAGGCAGTTAGGACTCACCCTCTCTCTCTCTACTCAGCAATGGTTGCCTGACGATCCAAACATGTGTTTAATGATGACATAAGCGCAGCTTTGGTCACATGTTCCAAAGTGTGATTAACTGAAAAAAGCAGCAGGAACTGATCAGTATCTATTAGATGCTTAAACAATCTCAGGTCTGTTTATCAAGTTTCTATAATGTGTCTTTCTGTGCTTTATGAAAAGGATTAACCTTTTCTGTCTGAAAGTGTGTAAGATTTAACCCTATAATGCCAAATGTATCATATTTGATACATACGGTTTCTGAAATGTTTTGCGTCTGACACCTTTTGCATAATTTAATGGAAAAAACTTTGCTCAAAATCCTGTTGTACACAATCAGATATACCTGATTACAGAGGGCAGAAGACTACACAAAAAATAATCTTGACTTATCGCATAGTAATAAATTATTAATATCAAAAATTTATTTCTGTTTTTTCTTTTTACATATTTTGTTAAAAGGCCAAATAAGGACACAAACCGAAAAACAGTAATTTTCTGTTTTGTTTTATTCTTGGATCGGGCTTTAAAAGGGTTAAATATGTTTGGAAAACATAATTCACAGGTAATTTCCAGAGGTGGAAAAAGTACTAAAATATCATACTCAAGTAAAAGTACCAATACTTGGATGAAATATTACTCAAGTACAAGTAAAATTACACATCAAAAAAATTACTCAAGTAAAAGTAGCTAATTTAAAATGTATTTTAAGTAAAAGTTACTTAGTTACATTTAAAAAAAAGCAGTTAAACGGGGCAGGGGATCTCTCCCATGTAGTGAAAATAGGACAAGGAGTCATAAATCCAAAACTATTTAGTTGCTGCCGGTTCAGTCACCTTTGGCAGACACATCTGGCATTGCATGATGATACTGTCGGCCCTCTTGAATTTAAATGAAAAGCAGTCTTTCAAATGTGGCCGAGGATTTTTCGTCGTTTTTGGGCAGCAGAATTCGATGTTTCAGCTAGCACTTCAATCTGAAAAACTCACAGAGAGAGAAAGATGCGATTAGAAGAGTTTTATTGATACAATAGTTTGAACTTTGGCGCTCAGGCCTCGGCAGGAAACATAAACGCTGATTTGTACTTAATGCAGATAAACTGATGTATGAGAATATGGATATTCCCCCCGGGCCTGAAACTGGTGGTGGAGTTTAGATAGATGAAGTTTGGTTAATCCATGGAGGCTGGTATGCAAGGTGATGCTTGAGTTAGATATCATTTGAATGAACAAAGTTTGCATAAACTGTCCATGAAGAGCAAGCATGAAGCGACTGTGGAGAGAAAAAACTCCCCTTTGGGAAGAAGTCTCTGGCAGAACCAGGCTCAACATGGCGGTCTTCTGCCGGACCGTTTTAAAGTGACAGGGAACTCCATGAAAGTCTGGAGGGACTACACGCTGGAGGTGAGGTTGAAGGAGCATCAAGGAGGAGTCGGATGAGCTTACTACAATGGTGGAGAAGAGGATGGAGGTGGGTTGTCTGAATCAAAGTCCGACATAGGAGTGACGGTTCTTGCGCTTTCTGAAGAGCAGGCCGAGAGATGATTGGAGTTGCTTTTAAGGTGAATGCTGGATGATGATTGGGCATCGAGGAGATGTAGCTTGAAGCGGATTGGCTGCATCGGAGGCAGATCAGCCTCTGATTGGATGGAAGTAATCAGAGTTT